TTACAGTACTGGGGCTTGAACTCAGGGCCTTGTGTGCCTGCTAACGCACTCTACCACTTGAGCCAGGTCTAAATCATTTTTGGGCTTTTTAAATTAAATAACTCCATTAGAAAAGGGGAAAGAATAGAAAAAAGAAACAAAAATTGAGAGGAGAGGAATTGATTTCTCATTTGTTTTCTTCCAATATTTAAAGCTAACACAGCAAATAAATACCCTCAGAATAAAAAAAAGGATATCTCCCTGCTTCACTTTTTCCAATACTTATTATCCTGGGCCTCCAGAACTGTTTTCTTTCATTCCTCAGATACTTATTGGTTACCTATTCAAGCCAAGGGGCAATTACAAGCACTCTGGAGAATAAATACAAAGAGGGAAACATGAGATCCTGCCCCCAGAAATTAACCTGGCAGTCAGTATAAAAGAACCATCACAAAGCTGGATGCCAGTGGCTCACCCCTATAATCTTAGCTACTTGGGAGGCTGAGATCAGGAGAATTGCAGTTTGAGGCCAGCTGGGGCACATAGTTTGAGAGAACACCATCTCCAAAATAACCAGAGCAAAATGAACTAGAGGTATAGCTCAAGTGGTAGAGCACCCGTTTTACAAGTGCAAAGCCTGAATTCAAACCCCAGTCCTATCAAAGGAAAAAAAAAAAAAAAGAAAAGACCATGATACAAAATAGAATAAGAGCCTGAGGAAGGGTACACGTAAATTATTACAGTAATTCCAGCAAGGGGAAATTGGGATTGGCTTCCAGTTTGGTAAAGACATTGGGACTGGAGTGTTAGGGAAATTTAGGTATATGCACCAAATAAGAAAAGACAGGAATTGCAGGACACTCAGCTTGGCTGGAGGGAAGGGTGTATGAAGCAAGGATGAAATATGATGATCACTGATAGGTACTAAGTAAGTGCCAGGCACATATGCTAGAAGGTTTCACATTCTTAAGGTTCAAGAACTAGGGGAAATGAGTTTGGAGAGGAAGTGTAGTCACAGAGGGCCTTACAATGCAAACCACTGGTTTTGAAAAGGAAATTAGAAGTTCACAAAGAGTCCGGTTTAGGCCACATCATCACCTCTTCCGTCTGAACGATCCCATCAAGTAGCTCTGCTATGGAGAGAACAGGAGACCAAGAAGTGACAGGTGACAATTCTTAAACTGGAAGACTAATAGCAAGCCATCATCTGAACACTTGCTGAAGCAACTGGCATGCCACTGATCAGAATAAATTCCCACCTCTTTCCACCTTTGTCTCCATGGCTTGGAAAGCTTAAACCTGTTCATTGTAAGCCACAAGGTGGAGATGTCTGGCAAAGCAGAACTGAGAGGAAGTCCTTTAGCCAGTCTAAGGTTACCATTAACACTTTGAGTCACTGCCTTGAGCTAATTTTTATGTTTGTTTTTTAAGTTTGGTTGAAATGTCACAAATGGAAAAAATTAAGTAAAGCGCCTGGTTAGCCACAAGACTGGACACACCTGGCTGCAAACCCAGCAAAAGAAACTTACTTCATTAGTAGGAGAGCAGAATGAAATTTACATCTGAAATCTGCCTGCACTAGGAGAAGGTGCTGCGGCCAAAGGCTCTGTCTGTTTTTACAGCTGTGTCAAGACTTAGTTCTTACTCCTACCAACACTCAGGAGTGCGGCAAGGACCCAAGGAAAAATGGTCTCCAACCTCTTCAGCTGCAACTCAGCTCACAAAGGTTTGTAAGAACCAGTTAATGAAATAAAGCAAGACCAGATGAGGTGATATAATGAACTTTACTTCCACAGCTAATTTATATGTTTAAATCACAAATGTTTGTGGTTTTTTTGTATTTTTTTTAAGTCACAGCACTAAATTATTGATGTGATTTTTTTTTAATCCCAATTAACACTTGTTTTTTGTACCAGCTTCATGGATGATAAGACTCAGCCCATTTTCCATAATAGTTGAGCTCCCAAAAAGCTGATAAAAAGCCAATGTTTATAAAATGGAAGTTTTCCCTCCCTTTATGAGACTAGAACTCTAATGTCAAAGGAGTCGTTGATTGGAATTCTGATTTCAAAGGTCTTGATCCAAACTTCTTATTCATCATCAATTCATAAGTGGCTCTGTTTTTGATTTTCCTCACACCAATCCACTCAAAGTAATGGCCTTTAAGAACTCTCTGGCATGAGAAAAATCACCACTACAATGATTGATTGGTTTTATAAATTTTACTTTTTATATGACTATTCTTTCAGAGGAACACCTGGAATGCCATATAACACAGAGATAAATTTGCAAATTACCACCTTAAAATTTTAAGTTTTCAAGGCTGGAATGAAACTTGGTCCAAACACTAGAAATGAATTTTAAAAGTGGGGGTGAAGAAAGGAAGAAAGAAACATGGAAACCATGTAGTTAACCTTACCATCACTAAATGAAGAAACTGAAACTCAGAAGAAGAAAGATTTGCCAGTCGAGAGTGAGAACCAGCCTATACTGGCTCCATGCTGCCTACTACTCGTCTCCAGCCACCCGTCCCATTTCTTTGGGTTTCTCACTCACAGAAGATTGAGGTCTTCTCTACACACATTCACAAATTAGAGGTAGTTAACATACAACTGTCCTTCCTATATAAAGGTTGTCTGTTTATACCATAAGGTTGGAAAATTAAATTTAATAGAAAAGCAATAGAGGTTAATTCTTCCAAATTTCTACTATTTTCAAATCATCTTTTATTTATAATCTTTGTAACTAAGCCAGAGTTTGGGCATTTCTCTTCACATAGGCAGTTTAAAGGCTCCATGAAGGGAATCACCTAAAACCTTGCTATTCAAAGTGTTTTTGCTCCCACCACCACCACCACCACCATGCATCACTAGCAACACTGACATCACCTAAAAATTTGTTAAAAAAGTAGACTCTCTGGTCTCATTGAATCTTGATTTTAGTAAGATTTTAACAATGATGTAGGCACATTAAAATCTGAGAAACATTTATCTAACACTTCCCCATAAAGTAACAGGCTAATTATTAAATGTACTAATGTACATTTTCAGTGGATATCTTGCCAAAGTCTTCTAGATTACTTAGTGATCAGAGTTTGCTTTTCAGTTCCTAAGGACTGCAGACCCCATACAGGAATCTTTTCCATCAGAACTAACTTAGAGAAGGACTGGTTCAAATATTGAATTACTGTCAAAAGCAGTGTCCTTAAACTAAATTAGTATTTGATTTCTTCCATTCACCAATTTCATCAGTCCTATCACTATGACTGGAGTTTTATAATCCCATTATCATATACAGCAAAGACAATAATGTGTATAAACACATAAAGTATCTGTGGCATGTCAGTCTCCACAGAAGCAGAAAAAGTTACTATAGCTAAACTGCCTGTTGAAATTAAGCAGCATTTCACAGAAACTCAAAAGCAAAGACATTCTAAAACAAATAAAACCCCAAACTCTAGTCGGGCAACCCATCGTCAGATCTGTCCAGGACCAGAATCTGATGGCAAGCACTTACCCCCATGACTCTGCCACGCTGCTCAACATCCTCCCACATAAAATGAACTATGATACGACACATATATTTCCCACTCCGGCCTTCCTGTTTCATTCGGACTAGACACATCCTAAAAGGAGAAAACAGAGTCACTGACTGTTTCCATCTTCACATCATGTATTTTAATTGAAGAGTGATGTTAGCAAAGGGCAATGAATTAAAAAACTGGAAGCTGGGCTGGTAGAGTGGCTTACGTGGTAGAATACCTACCTAGCAAGCATGAGGCCCTGAGTTCAAACCCAACTACCACCAAAGAGAATAACAAAAAACAAAAAACAACCACTAGAAGTCACCTTTAAAAAGAAAAAAAAAATTTATGAAGTATAACATAGACAGTAAAGAACATTAACCTTAAGTATATATATATGAATTTTTGCATATTATACATACCCATGTAAAGCACCACATAGATCTAGACACAGATTATTTAGAGTACCTCATAAAGTTCCCTCATACATGAAAAGGACCACATTTAATTGTCAGAAGATAAGCAAGTCTGAATTCTTCATTTTATTGATGAAAACAGGAGTCCCAAAGAAGGAAAGTAATTTGCCTAACACCATAGAGTAGTCTGTAAAGGTGGGTAGAGAACAATGAACTATGCTTTCCAATATAGTACCCACTAGCAATCTGTGGCTACTGAGTACTTTAAAAAAAAACTGTTCCAAAGATTTCAAAAATTTAGTTTAAGAAAAAGAATATAAAGTCTCTCTCTCTCTTTGGGGTTGGGGGTAGGGTGGGAACACAGGGCTTCACACTTGCAAAACAGGCACTCTATCGCTTGAGCCATACCTGCAGCCCATTTCGCTCTGATTATTTTGGAGAGGAGAGTCTCAAGAACTATTTGCCTGGACTGGGCTAAACCTTGATCCTTCCAATCTCAGCCTCCCCAAGTAATTAGGATTATAGGCGTGAGCCCCTGGGGCCGGGCTAAAGTCTCGCATCTTTTGAACTCCTGTCATGTTGAACTGTAATTTCAGATAGAATGAGTTAAATAAAATTCGTTATTAAATTCATTTCATTTGCCTCTTTTTCCCTTAAAAAATGAACCTACTAGAGAATTTTTTAATTACATTCATGGCTTATATCATATTTCTATTGAATAACATTTGTCTAGAGCACAGATTACTGAAAATATTATGATCCTATTTTTTAATTACCAAATTGTCTCCCCCACTAGATATAAGCTCCACTAAAGGCAAAGACCAAGTCTGTTTTTTCCCAGCATTGTATTTCCAGGGATTAAGCATAGGAGGCACTCAAAAGGAATTTGCTGAATAAATGAATAAAGCCAGGATCAGTACTACTAGGGAGGTTAAAGCAGGAGCAGCAGGAATTCAAGGCCAGCCTTCGCTACATAGTAAGATACTGTCTCAAAAAAGTTAATAAATAAACAGTCTAAGGCCATGTTTTGGGACTTTTCACCTGTACCACCACACTGCCTCTAACCTTTCAGAGTATTCTCTGCTTAGGACCTCATATAATGTAAGAATACAAGAATTACCTTTTAGCTGATGTGGTGGTATATACCTGTAATCCTAACTACAGAGGCAGGAGGACCACAAGTTCAAGGCACCCTGGACTGCAAAGTGAGACCCTGTCTCAATAAAAACCAAAGGGGTGGGAGGATCTACTAGTAATACAATGGAATGGTTCCAGCCTGGCCTACCTCAATAACTGTTAATGACTTTGATGAAGAAAATATATTTATCAAATTGGCAGATGACAAAAAGCTGGGCAGAATAAATATACTAGATGACTCAACCATGAACCAAAAATATTTTAACAGGACTATAATGGGCTGAATCTAATAAAAGGAATCTCTTCAACAAAATTAGAGAAAAGGGCAAATAGTTTCTGCCTGATAGTGAGGGGGTGGGGGGGAGAGGAAGAGGGAACGGGGGTAAGGAAGAGGATGGGGGTAAGGGGGGAGAAATGACCCAAACATTGTATGCATATATGAATAAAAGAAAAAATAAATTAATTAAAGAAAGAAAGAAAGAAAAGAAAAAAAAGGAATCTGAACAAAGATAAACGTAAGGTCCTGTACTGCACTTGGACTAAACAGGATACATAGATCACATCTACCCATTATGTGTGGGGAAAAAAAAGCCTTAAAAAGACTTAAAGTTAACAGAACATGTTCAATGAGAGTCAAGAGGATGATGATGTTGCCCAATTGTTTTATTTTTGGTGTTTTTCTTTGCTTTTTCTATTGTTTGGTTGGTTTTGTGTTTGTGGGGTTTTTTGTTTGTTTTTGTGGTATTGGAGTTTGAACTTGAGGCCTCAATACTTGCTAGGCAAGCACTCTAGCCCACAGGACACCACACCCCCATTGTCTTGAACATTATATTTTAAAAGATAAAGATTACAGCTAAACATCACACCTACTGCACAGTAGGGTGACTATAGTTAACACTTTATTATAATACATTATATATTTCAAAACAGATAGGAGGGGATTTTAAATGTTCTCATCTCCCAAAATAATGAGGTGATGGATATCCTAATTACTCTAATTTGATCATTATACAATGTACATAGGTATCAAAATATCATGTAACCCATAAGTATGTACAATTATGTATCTGTTAAAATAAAATAAAACTTAGAGAGACAAGGAAGAGATGAAAGACCAGAAGATATCTAACCTGGAGAAAAACAGGAGAGGATCTTTAAACACTGAAGAAAGCGATTAGACTGCTTATCTAAGAGTTAAAATCAAAACCAAAGGTAGACCGTAGAAAGAGAAATGATGGAACAGACAACCTCAAAAAGTAAAGAACGTGAGCTGGGCACTGGTGGTTCATACCTATAATCCTAGCTAATGAGGAGACAAATCAGGAGGATCACAATTTGAAGCCAGCCAGGGCAAATAGTTCTCAAGACCCTATATCGAAAAAAAAAAAAAAACCCATCACACACACACAAAAAAAAGGTTGGTGGAGGGGCTCAAGGTGTAGGCCCTGAGCACTGCAAAACAAAAAAAGTAGAGAATTTGCCTACTGATGAAAGGAGAACAAACCGCTATCTGACCAGAAGTTCACTACTGATCTCTAACTGAATTTTGTTGATTCTGTTATTCTAAATTTAACCTCTGAACATAGTTAGTGCCAAAGAAATAACACTTTGAGACAATAATGAACAGGTTATGGAAAAAAGAGTGGGCTACTTTATATGATGTAAAGCATGTTCCAAGGCAGAAACACATGGTGGAAAGTACAACAGTCTTTTTTCATGAGACTTTTCAAAAAGTTAATCAAATCGCTCATGTCAGCCTCTCACCTGAAAAGACACTGTGTGCTTTGATGCTTAAGTGTCGTCAGAGGCCAATGCATCAACGGCAATAGTGAGGTAATGGAATTCTTCATTTATTTGAAAATTCTATAGTTTGTTAATACACCTGCTCTGAGGTTTAAAAGGCACAGGTTTTCTCAGACCATCATAAACTTTCTTTTTTTTTTTTTTTTTTTTAGAATTTCCTGGGGAGTTTGTTTTTTTTTTCATTTTTCTTTTATTATTCATATGCATCATAAACTTTCTAACATGGGGTGAAGTGTTTTTAGTTTTATACCACAGTTTGTTCTATAGCCCTTACAGATAATGGCCAGCTCAAATGGTTATCTGGGTTAAAAAGATCATCCAATGATCTGGGTGACAGTTAACCCAATGAACATAAATTGAGCTCCCACTGAATCTAGGTGTACAGTTGGATGTGTGCGTAATACAGTGATGTGTGCGTAATACAGTGAGGGCTACAACTAGAACCCAGCTTTCAAGGAGCATTGTATCTCCTAGGGGAGATAAACATGCTACATACAAACAGCCTGAAAAGTGAATGCAGTACATGTCCCAAAAGAAAAGTGCAATGGAGTATGAGAAGATTAGTTTTGAATGAGTAAGATCATGGAAAGCTTCATGGAAAGGAAACATTATACCTGGGGCTTGGAAGGATGAGCTGAAGTTGGACAGGTAGAGACAAAAATAAAGGGACTTTCCAATAAAACATTAAAAGCAAAGGCAGGATCACAGAAGAGGTCAGCACATGTTAAGCAAACAAAGAATACCTAGATTTGTGAGGTGGCAAGGCATAGGAAACAGGAAAATGAAGCCAGAAAAAATTCTGAAGGGCTTTGAAATGTCATGTTAAGAAGTCTGGACTTTTCTGGACTAAGCAGACAATGGTAAGCCACTGAGAAGAGATGTTATAAAATCAGCACCTTGGCATTCAGAGCAGATAAGTCTCTGAGAAGTTAACCCTTCCCAGCTCAACCCTATAATTAAATATCAATGTCACCAAGGATGAAAAATAACAACTTTGGTGAATACTTACTTTAATAGAACTAAGATAATAAGAATTGTCTGATCTATAAATACAAACCATACTGCCTTTTGAGAGACATGCAATCAGCAAAATTTGTTATAACCTGCACCTAACTTTGCTTTTACAGTTTAAAAACATGGATTGAAGTCTGTAAACGAAAAGAGAGAAAATTCTAATTACTCTTAAAACACAGTACCAAATCAGTCCAATGGATGCTTGATTTTTGCAAATAAAAGCTCTACAGCAAAGTTCATCATCACACATAGCTGGTTATAAAACCAAATCAAGAATCAGTTTTGGGTTTTTTTTTTTTATCAACAGCAAGTATACTGAAGATTGGTATGAGTTCTACTAGGAAAATAAGATTCTGATCCACAGGGCTGTCCAACTGCCAACGCTATAATCAACTAAATAAAAGCTCGACCAATTTTGTCCTAAGTTGGTGAAACACCCTCTAGTTAATTAAGAACAGTTCTGTTATGAAGAACTTTTCTGTTTATCCCCTTGAGAAAAGCAGAGATGAAGGCTGGGCCCATGTCTTAGACCTAGCCAGCTGCCTGGAATGTTCAGACACGGAGCTGAAGGTCAAATCTTAGGGCACCTGACTTTGAAGCTTATCACATTCAGTCTACTCCTTCTTCTGTTTAATAACTGTGTTGCATAGGTAATGCATGTACCTGGTAATAAAAACTAAGTCTCCTTCCTGTCTTCATTCCCCAGCTAACAATTCCTCTCCCTAAGGCAGC